CAGGAATGCCATTTCCACTGAGAACGGGAGGCTGATTGGAATGCTTCAGCAGCGTCACTTAAACCTCCCTTATTTCTTCTTGTCCCCCCAGCGTGTGCTGTCGGCTGTGATCGTGGCCTCAGTGGTGGGCTTGGCTGAACTGTACGTGATGGTGCGGACCATGGAAGGGGAGCTTGGAGGACTGTAGTCAGGAGGCTTTCACTTAGACTGGGATCCTTACCCTGCAGGACTTTTCCTCCCCTATGGGTTATTAATTTGTCGACAGCTGTGTTTGGCTTTGGTCCATTGGGTCCCTGTGCCTACTGCAGTTTCCTCACACCATGTTCCTTACCCCGGCCGCGTTTGAAACGAATCACCAGATGCACTGAATGGGGACCTTGTGGCATGGAACAGAAGAGTCAGCAGCCGTGGGATGTTTCAAATCCATGAAAGGCACAGGCGGGAGTGGGGGGCTTATTGCTGCCTCATCTTCTAGCTCTGAAGTTGCTGTCCCTTGTTCAAAATAAATGGATTCTGTGTGCATTAGAATGACCTTCCTCCTGCCCCAAGGCAGATTCCTAGGGTGGAGATGCTGCGTGTGAAATGCCTGCACTGTGTTCCTGGGCAGCCTGGGTGTGTCTCTGCCCTCTGTATCCCAAACCCTGCTCCATCACTTCTGCAGAAGCCGTTACACTTGGTTTCTTTAATGCTCTTCACATTCCTGCATGGTGCACTAGCCAGGCTGTTTTAGGGTAGAGCAGAGTTTATACAGGGCATGAGCACTGCCTGCTCTTGACTGAAGCAGTGGGTGCCTGACCCAGGCCCTGTGCTCATGGTGGTGTATTTTCTCCCCCATGCAGACAGCTGCTCCCCAGGAGAATGAGGTCACCTCATCCCACACTGTTCCTCCCATACTGGGAAATTTCCTAACTCAAAAGGTGTTGCAGCCAATACAGGGAATTCTTTATCGGTTAAGATGAAGTCTAATAGAGAAACTGACCACAGAACTAAAAATTAATGATAGCTTAGGTACAAGTGATTATGACTTATGTGCAGTCCAAATAAAGTCTAGACCAGTAATATAGATACATGTGCTACTTTAATAAGGCCAGTTTCACAAAGCCAAAAACAATTGAGCCAAATAAGCTGGGAGGGATGATTTAAGCAGAAAAATGTAAGTGATAATTGGGAAACATTTAAGAACACCTTACTAGATGCCCAAAAAGATGCAAGCAAGGAAGAAGGATGTACTTGTTAAACTGACTTTGTTTAGCGGGGAAAGGAAGGCAGCTATAAAAAATAAATGTGTAACAAATGAAAGAAAGGCGGGAGTGGATAGGGACAAGTCACAAGTTGGGAATTGTAGAAAATGTATAAGGGAAGCAAATGGACACGAGGAAATCTATAGCCAGCAGAATTAAGAAGGAGTTTTAAAAATATATTAGGAACAAAAGCAATCGTGACAATGGTATTGGTCCATTACTAGCTGGAAATGGTAGAATCATCAGTAAAAGGCAGAAGTGTTCAATAAATATTTCTGTTCTGTATTTAAGGAGGACAGATTATACAGTCTCATCATATGGTGATAATTCCAGTCCACTAGTGTCTCTGGAGGATGTTAACAGAAGCTAGTGAAGTTAGGCATTTTTAAATCAGCAGGCTCAGATAACTTGCAACCAAGATTTTTAAAGAGATTCCTGGACCACTAAATGCTGGTTCTCAGTAAGTCCTGGAGCACTGGGGAAGTTCCAGGAGACTGGAAGCAAGCTAATATTGTGCCAATTTTAAAAAAAGGCAAGCGGAATGACCTGGGTCATTATAGGCCTGTCAGCCTGACACTGATCCCAGGAAAGATAATGGAGCCGGTGATACAGGACTTGATTAATCAAGAATTAAAGGAAGGTAATGTAATTAATACAAATCATCATGGGTTTATGGAAAACAGATGCTGTCAAACTAACTAATCTCATCAAACAATATTTGGCTGCTAAAGGTAATAATGTACGTGGACTTTCAGAAAACCTTTGACAAGGTCCCTCACCAAAGGCTCTTAAGCAAACTAAACAGTGATTGGACAAGAGGGAAAGACCTCTCATGGATCAGTAACTGGTTCAAAAATAGGAAAGAAAGAGTAGGAATAAATGCTTAGTTTTCACAATGGAAAAAGGTAAATCATGGGATCCCCATGAATCTACGCTGGGACCAGGGCTTGTCAGCACATTTGTAAGTGATGTGGAAAACTGGGTGAACAGTGAGTTGGAAACATTTGCAGATGACACTGAACTACTCAAGATTGTTAAGTCCAAAGCAGACTGTGAAGAGATACAAAGGGATCTAACTAAACTGGGTGACTGGGCCACAAAATGGCAGATGAAATTCAATGTTGATAAATGCAAAGTAATGCACATTAGAAAAATTCGTCCCAACTATGCATATAAAATGGGGTTTAAATTACCTATTACCACTTAAGAAAGATCTTGGATTCATTGGGGATAGTTCTCTGAAAACATCTTGTCAAGGTGCAGCAGCAGACACAAAAGCGAACAATGTTAGAAACCATTAGGAAAGGAATAGATAATAAAACAAAATATCACAATGCCACTATATAAATCTGTGGTACTCCCACACCGTAAATAATCCATGCAGTTCTGGTTGCCCCCTCTCAAGTTACATTAATTGGCAAATGGACAGAGCAGGGCAACACAAATGACTAGGTGTCACGGAGTGTGGGGGAGTCCGGGTCCTGCACCCCTCTTCCTGGGATTCACCGTGACTCTCAGCCAGCCAGTAAACCAGAAGGTTTATTGGACAATAGGAACACAGTCTAAAATAGAGCTTGTGGGTACAACCAGGACCCCTCAGTCAAATCCTTCTGGGGCACAGGGAACTTAGACCGCAGCCCTGGGGTTCCCTGCGTTCCACCACCCAGCACCAAACTGAAAACAAAACCCCGCCAGCAGGCTCTCTCCTGCAGCCTTTGTCCAGTTTCCCAGGCAGAGATGTTACCTCCCCCCACCCCCTCCTGGCTCAGGTTACGGGCTCTCAGGTATCCCATCCCCAGTGAAACTCCCCTGCCACATTCCCAGGTCAACACTCCCCCACTCCCTACTGCGTCACGCTGGAGTATGGAACAACTTCCAAATGAGGAGAGATTAAAAAGACTAGGAATGTTCATCTTAGAAAAGAGACGACTAATGGGGGAGGGAATGTGATAGAGGTGTATAAAATCATGACTGGTGTGGAGAAAGTGAATAAGGATGTGTTATTTATTCCTTTACATAACACAAGAACCAGGATCACCCAATGAAATTAACAGGCAGCAGGTTTAAAACAAAAGGAAGTACTTCTTCACACAACGCACAGTCAACCTGTGGAACTCATTGCCAGGGGATGTTGTGAAGGCCAAAAGTATAAGAATTAGATAAGTTCATGAAGGATCAGTCTATTAATGGCCATTAGCCAAAATGGGCAGGGACACAACCCCCTAAACTGTGTGCCCCTAAACCGCTAGGCGCTAGGTCTGGAGAGCAGGGAAAGGATCCCTCAAAATTGCCCTGTTCTGCTCCTTCCATCTGAAGCATCTGGCACTGGCCACTGTCAGACACAGGCTACTGGGCTAGATGGATCATTGGTCTGACTCATTGGCCTGTCCTAGACTAAGGAATGTTGTTTCACCTATTTTCCTGTCTCTCCAATGTGAATTAAGACAAGTAAAACCTCAGAGGACAACTAAAAATACATCTTCATAAAAGGTAAACAAAGCCATCAAGATAAAGGAGGGGGCGGGAAGAGAGAATGATTAACTGTCATGATTGGGGTGGAGCCTGCACCCCCAGGAAGCCTTCCTTGCTCTTGAAACAGGATAGATTTTGAAAAATATAAGCAGAAACGAAGCCATTTTGGCATCTATCACGGTGGGGGCACAAGAGGCCAAAGCTCTCAATCTGAGAAAGGGGGATCCTTCAGCCAAGGGGCTTACAGTGTCTGGGAATTCACTGTGGTGAGAAACCTGCTTAGACAAAGATTGTAAATTGCTAACATTCAGTTTTAGTCACTAGAAAGTGTGTTTTACTTGTAATCAACCTGTGTCTTCTATTCTTCTCTCTTAAACCTACCCTCTTTGTTAATAACTTTGTCCTTGTGTTATTACAAAGCCATCCCAGGGCTGGCCACTGAAGTGAAGTGTGGATCTTCAGCGGAACCACCAGGCTGGAGGGCCCTTTGTCTCATTGGAGGCAGCAAATTTAACTTCGGTTGGGTCCAGCGAGAGGGACCGGATGCTGCAATGGAGCCATTTTGGGACGACTCCGAACACGAAGGGCTGTTGGTGTCGCCCTGCAAGGAATGACCGAGGCCACTGTGCTGTGAACATGCTGCTGGTGTCAGGGCTCTGAGTCAAACCTGCACAGCACAGATGCACCCGGGGTTACAGGGCAGGCAGAGACACAACCCCATACTGGTCTGGGTGAAACCCCAGAGTCACATGGGGGAGTGGTAAATAACGAAGACGACAAGTCACTGATTCAGAATGATCTAGATCGCTTGGTAAACTGGGCGCAAGCAAACTGTGTATTTTAATGAGGCTAAATGTAAATTTACACATGTGGGAACAAACACTGTGGGCCATCCTTATGGGCTGGGGGACTCTATCCCAAGAGCAGTGACTCTCGAAAGGATTTGGGAGTCGTGGGGGTCATGGTGGATACTCAGCTGAACGTGAGCTCCCACTGTGATGCTGAGACTAAAGGAGCTAATGAGATCCTGGGATGTACAAACAGAGGAACCTTAAGTAAGATCAGAGAGGTTATTTTACCTCTGTATGGCACTGGTGTAACGGCTGCTGGAATCCTGTGTCCAGTTCTGATGCCCGCCATGCGAGAAGGATGTTGATAGATTGGAGAGGGGTCAGAGAAGAGACACAAGAATGATTAAAGGATTAGAAATCCTGCTTTTTAGTGATAGACTGAAAGAGCTCGATTTATTGAGATTAACAAAGAGAAGGTTAAGAGGTGATCACAGTCTGTAAGTATCTACATAGGGAACAAATATTTATTAATGGGCTCTTCAATCTGGCAGAGAAAGTTCTAACCCGATCCAATCATTGGAAGTTGAAGTGAGACAAATCCGTACTGGAAATAAGGTGTACATTTTTAATTGTGAGAGTAATTAACCATTGGAACAACTTAGACTCAGACTTTAAGGCGAGAAGGGACCATCGTGATCATCTAGTCTGACCTGCACATCACAGGCCACAGAACCTCACCCACCCACTCCTGTAACAGACCCCTGACCAAGTTACTGTCATTGTCAAATCATGATTTAAAGAGTTCAAGTTACAGAGAATCCAACATTTACTCTAGTTCAAACCAGCAAGTGACCAGTGCCCCATGCTACAGAGGAAGGTAAAATCCCCCCACCCCCAGGGTCTCTGCTAACCTGACCTGGGTGAAAATTCCTTCCCACCCTCAAGTATGGTGAACACTTAGACCCTGAGCATGTCAGCAAGACACCTGGGAAAGAATTCTCTGTAGTAACTTGGAGCCCTCCCCATGTAGTGTCCCATCTCTGGCCATTGGGGATATTTGCTACTAGAACTCCTAGATGGGCCACATGCCATTGTAAACAGTCCCATCAGACCACCCTCTCCATAAACGTATCAAGCTCAGACTTGAAGCCAGTTAGGGTTTTTGCCCCCACTACTCCCCTTGGAAGGCTGTTCCAGAACTTTACTACTCTGATGGTTAGAAACCTTTGTCTAATTTCAAGCCTAAATTTGTTGATGGCCAGTTTATATCCATGTGTTCTTGCGTCCACATTGGCACTTAACTTAGATAACTCCTCTCCCTCCCTGGTATTTATCCATCTGATGTACTTATAGAGAGCAGTCATATCTCCCCTCAGCCTTCGTTTGGTTAGGCTAAACAAGCCAAGCTCCTTGAGTCTCCTCTCAAAGTAGGTTTTCCATTCCCCAGATCATGCTAGAAGCCCTTTGCTGCACCTCTTCCAGTTTGAATTCATCTTTCTTAACTATGGGAGGCCAGAATTGCACACAGTGTTCCAGAAGAGGTCTCACCAGTGCCTTGTATAATGACAATAACACTTCCCTGTCTCTACTGGAAATACCTCGCCTGATAAATCCTAGGTCTGCATTAGCCTTTTTCACAGCTGTGTCACGCTGACAGCTCATAGTTATCCTGTGATCAACCAACCCAGGCCTTGCGTCCCCTCCAAGGGGCATAGGGGAGTCTCCATCACTGACAATCTTTAACTCAAGGCTTGAAGTTTTTCTAACAGCTCCACACTCGGAATTACTTTGGGCAGTTCTCTGGCCCGTGCTATCCAGGGGGTCAGCTTTCATGATCCCAATGGTCCCTTCTGGCCTTGGAATCTCTGAGATCCCCGCACCTCTGGAGGCCTGGGGGCTCTGTTCAGCCCCACTTCGTGGCAGTGGAGGGGGGGGGGTAACGCAGCCTGTGCCGCAGGGACAGACACTAGCTGCTCCCTTGCTTTGTCAATCCATTCCACCACCACAGTGGGGACCAAGCTGAGCGACCTCAACCCCAGGAACCAGGAACCATCAACAGCGAAAGGGCACGCTTGTTAAAATCCAAGCCCGTGGGTGTCTGCCATGCCCAGCAATAGTAACAAATGCTGTCATTGTAAATGCTGGCTCTGGGGTGACGGTAACACTGTGTTTGCCTCTAAGCACTCCTTGGGCAGCTGTTTGCATCTCTCTGGTTGGGATTGTGGGTGCTCCAGCTGCTTGTATCCTCACCCAGTCCAGTCAAGACAAATGAGCCCTGCTTGTATAAAATAAAAGGCATGTGTGACCTATTTCTGTGCAGAGGCAGAGTGAATGCTGCAGGGTGGGATCTCATAGGAGTTTGACTCCCTCTTGTACTGGTCTAGGTAAGATTCACCCAGCTTCTCACTCCCTCTTTGCCTAAGTCCACCGTAAGTAAAACCGGCCTTCAGGGTGAGATATCCTCCTGCTTACATCTGTCCCACTGCAGAGGTGCACTTACCTTGTTAGCATCAGACGCAGCTGGTGCCCCAGTTTCTCCACTGGTGGAGCGGTTTAGCTCTCCTGCTGAGCCCAATTCTCCCCCCTCCCAGGGTAAGCTGAGACAATCCACAAGGAGAAAAAACAAACTCCCTGAGCTACAGTCCCTTCGCAGGGGCGGGACGAACCACCCCAGTAATTCACCGCTCTTTATGCAAGGCTGGCTCCACAATGGCCCTTGCCCAGCCCTGTCCAGACTCCTTGAGCCCCTTCCCCTGGGAGAGAGAAGAGGCGAGCTGAGCCTAACCTGCCCTGCCCTGGTCACCACCTTGGCAGAGAACATACCAGCAAATCCTAACCACCTCCCTGACCCAGCCTCATTTTCCAGCCTCAGGAAAATGGGCCTTCTTGTACCCAGCATGCGCTGTTAGAGCTTGCAGGTCCCATGTTCACGGGACTGCAAGTCCCAGCATCCCTTGGTGTTTGGCAAAGAACAAGTCCCAGGAGCACGCTGAACTCTGACCCCTCTAAGCCCTGTTCCCCCTCCACAGTCACTGTTGCATGTGGGGACGAGGCCTCTATTTCAGGTGAATCTTTGGGGGTTTATTCCCCTGGCTTTGAAAAAGCACCTAGAAGTGTAAGTGGAGCTCTGCAGGCAGTTCCCTCCCTCACGCTGTGACTTCCCAGACCCACATGTTTGAAAGCCACCACGACTGGACAGTGGCCCCAGTAGTGTGACTTGGGGGGGACAGGTACCAAGTCAGTCCATTCCTAAGAGTTGGGTCCTGTGCCAGAGAATGTGATGGGCTTTGAAATTACAAACTAAGCTTTTGAAAGGTGACGTGCCAAGCAGCTGGGACGTGAAACCCCTGTAAGATCCCAACATAGGGCAAACACAGTGCCAGAGATGTTCAGTGTAGACAAGAATACCTGGAAATCGCTTCCTCGTTCTCTTAGGGCACAGGGTTATTCCCATCAACTTCAACAGTGCAGGACCTAGCCCTCAGCGGCCAAGCTGTGAGTCCAGGGTTCTGTGTGTCCCCAGCACCACAAACACCTTGAGCCCAGTAAGAAATACAGCTTCCTGATTTGCACCAGAGACCAGTGATGCCACCCACTGCTGCAGGAGAGACACAACTACTGTACTGTTGTCTGGCAGAGCAGCTTACAATATTGGCTGTTCCGTGTAAGGGCCCCAGCTCCTGGAATCTGGTGATTAGGGAGAATCTTGGCTTTCATTTAAAACAAAGCTAAGTGGAGTGTCTGGCCCTCATGAGTGCAAAGCTTGAAAATGTGACCCAAGTGCTCCCCAAAGACTCAGAAACCCGACAGCAAAGACGACACCCCTCCCACCCTCCCTTATTTTGATAACTATCAGGATTTTTAAGCCAATCATAAAAATTGGGACTTTGGGGGGGGGGCCTGATTCGTGGCTTTCGAATACTTGTCTTTGGGGCTCAGCAATTCAACCGGCACATAGGCCCAACCCTACTAGCCTGTTGCGAGGGTGGGGGCTGGCTGTGCCACATTCCCCTCTGCATCACCTTTCGAACCGGACCAGCAGCCTCCCTCTGGGGGATGGGTTTGGGGTAGATAATTTTCAGGCCTGGACCCAGCTGCTGAAAACCTGTCCCAGAATCCCCTTCCTCTGGGCAGAATCCCAGCCACCGAGCAAGTCAGCAGCCATGGGGAGGGCTGGCAGAAACAGCCGCCGCTGTGCCCAGAGATCGGACACAGCAGGGCCCTGCAGTGATCCGTGGCAGCAAAGAGAGATTCCGGTGGCCCCTCCCCCCAAGCTCCCCTCTGCAGTTACTGGCAGGCAAAGAGAAGGGGGCTCCCAGGCACAAGCCCCCATGCGGGGAAGGTCTACTGCTGCCAGGGCTGCAGTGACAGGGGCTGGAAGGGCACCCTGCCGGTCAGGCCGCTCCGCACACAGCTGGCTGGATTTACTGCTGAGTATGGGGAACTAGCACCTGCCCCACTGGCCAGGCCTGAGCCTTGACACCATCTCCTCAGTGCTGGGAGCCCCCCCCCCCGCTGCAGCTCCCGGAGGCCCAGCTTGGCCAGGGAGGGGCTAGCAGGTGGGCAGCACGCCAGGAGCTAACAATGTTGATTAATGTTCTGATGTCTGCTAAGCCCCTTCTAAAAACACGCTTTAATATTTCTGATATGTGCAAATCTATTTTGTAACCTGGAAATGTTACATGGTGCCGGGATTAGGTAATGTAGATAAATTCTGTGGGGGGGCCCGGCCACAATCATTTGCAAATACAGCCTGAGATTAAGGTATTTTTTTGAAAGATTAGTTGGTATTACCACTGATTGTGATATGCAGGACCGGGCTGCAGCCCCACTTTGCCAGCCCGCTGCACAGACCTGCATTTAGGATATTGGATGGTATTGCAAAGATCTTAAGGAGTCAGTGCAATAATACTTCCGATCTAATGAAAATTACAGTGCTAAGCTGGGGAGGGGGCATGGCCACCCATTTATTATTGTTACGGAATTGCTTTGGAAGCACACACCCAAGAAAGCCAAGAGCCAGAGGTCACCCTGCTGCACACCCTGGGAGCAGAGCCTCCCTCCAGATTAATTCAGCCAGGTACCACCGCAGGGGTTCAGACACTTAACCCTCCATGTCCTGTGGCAACCCAGAGACTCCAGGGCCCAGCTGCCATTCAGGCTAGTGTTTGTTCCAGTTCCTAGTGGTTAGATGGAGTGGGGGTTGGGAGCCTAGCAGCAGGGAGCTGACACAGCTAAGGGCTGTTTCCAAGTTGGCAGCTGCTCCTCCCATGGCAGCCTGGCCTCGCTAGCTGGGTTTGCCCCCATGGCCATGGGCAGCAGTTTCCAGCTGGCACTGCAGGTCCGAATGCCTTGCCCAGCACAGAGCCCAGCAGTGCCTGGTGCCAGCTGCTCAGTACCAAACTTCAGAGGAGCTCAAGGTGCCAGGCCTGATGGTTGCCCCCTGCAGCACCCGCCTCGGCCGGGCCCACGCCTAGGGCTCGCCCAGGTTGGTGACGATGGCCGCGTTGTAGATGAGGTCTGAGATGTACCCTAGGGAGGTCTGTGCAGGGAACATGTCCCAGCAGGGGAGCCCCTCACCAGCCCTGGGCTCTGCTCCCTGCACCCCCGCCTGGCTGGGGCTGGCCAGTGACCACTGGGCTCCCCCCTGGCCGCAGCGGGGCTGGCAGCTGTCCTCCCACAGGAGCTGCCCCTGGAAGGCAGAGCCCAGGCTGGGCAGCGCTGGGCCCGGGCACCTCTGGGGGGAGCTGTCCCGCAGGCGGAGCTCGGGCACCTGTTGGCTTCTGGCCCCTGGGCACTGGGGCAGGAGGCAGCTGCCCTGGGGCGGTGGGGGGCAGGAGGGGGGCGGTTTACTGGCCAGAGCCCTCCCGCAGCGCGGCCGCTCCAGCTTCCCGCTCTTGATCCTCCGTGCGCGGCGGTTCTGGAACCAGACCTGGGGAGAGAAGGGCTGTGAGGGACTCCCCTGCCCCGGGCCGCAGCGCCCCGCTGCCGCCCACCCCAGCCCCATGGCGGCGCCCCGCGACCTCCCAGCCCGCGGGACACGGCGGGGCACCAAGGGCTCCCCCGCCCCGCCCCGGCTCACCTGGATCTTGGCCTCGGGCAGCTGGGTGAGCTCGGCCAGGCGCTCGCGGGTGCCGATGTCGGGGTAGGGCAGCGCGGCGAACACCCGCTCCAGCTCGCACAGCTGCCCCCGGCTGAACGTGGTTCGCTTCCTCCTCCGGGGCCCCGCCGGGCAGCCCCCCGCGCCCCGCTCCGGCTCCGGGCGGCTCCCTGCGGGCAGGGGAGACGGGGAGAGCTCAGCCCGCAGCGCCGCTCGCAGCCCCGGCCCCCGGGAGCCTCCCCGGCCCCCCGGCCCGCGCCCCCGGGATCCCCCGCCCCAGGCTGCCCCGGCGCCCTCCGCACCGACCTGCTCGGGGCTCGGGCCGGCGGGCCAGGGGGGTGCCCCGGGCGGGCGGCGGGCAGCGGCTGGAGTCTCCGTCGGGGAAGAAGAGCCGCGGGCTGAGGAAGCGGCGCGGGCCGGGTGCGGGTCCCGCCCCGCTCATTCTCCTGCCGGGGGCTGCGGCTCAGCGCGGCCGCCCGGCGGCTCCCCGGGCCTTTTATCCCCTGCTCCGCTCCCCCTCCCCGGCCAGCAGCTCCCAGGGGTCTGGGACCGCCCAGGGCTTTGATCCCGCCGCCGTCTGACACCCGCGGGCTGCCCGCCCCAGCCCAGCCGCGCCCGTCGGGGGGATCCCAGCCCAGCCCCCCCATCCCCAGGCCCCCCAGCCCAGCCACATGCTCCAGCGAGCCCAGCCCAGCCCTGTCTCTCCCCACCCCCAGGGACGGGCTGTCCTTGGGCTCCCTAGGTTGGGGCTGCTTTAGCCAGGTCAAGTGCCCTGGGCTGCCGCCTTGCCCTGCTGTCTCCCAGCCCTTCGGCCCCCAAGGGCACTGGGAGCTCAGGCCGCTTTGCACTGGTGCATTCCCTTCCTCCAGCGGGGTGAGCAGCCAGAGCCAGGCCCTGCCCCTGCCCGGGGGGGGGGGGGGATGACCAGGGGTGGCCCAGGAGCTGAGGAAGGGAGGGCCCAGGCACCCAGCAGCAGCGCCTCCCTTCCGCGGAGCCCAGGGGTAACTACCTGTGGCCCCCCCCTTCCCCGTGGAGACCTGGGCGGTTGCTGGTTCCAGGTTTGGAGTTTATAAGGCTAAGCTGCGCCGGGGGGGGGGGGGTGGCTCACAGCAATATGTGGCCCCAGGCAGAGTAGGGTTGGCTGTGGAGACACAGGCTGAATGCTGAGGACCAACCCAAATCCCGATTGTGAGCCTCCCTTTGCTCTGGGACGGCCCTTTGGTTCCTCACTGGTTTCTTGATGGCACCCACCAGGTGCCATCTAATTCCTTGCGGGGTGCTGCCAGGGCTGGCCCCAGTTCCCCACACAGGATATTTCTGCATAGGTCCACCTGTCAGCGTCTGCCCAGGGCCACGCTCCAGGCCAGCCCCCTCTGCACTCGTGGTCCAGGCTTCTCTGTGGGAAATCCTGCCCAGGCTGGCAGCCCACAGGGCAGGGTGCCCTGGGGAAAGTGGCTGTCAACCTCCCAGTCTGGCAGATGGCCAGTGGCACCAGCCTGAGAGGCTATCAATGCCTGAGAGGCTGCATGCAGCTGCCCATGGGCTCCTCTGTGGTGTGGTGGTTGGCAGTGGGTTGGCTGCCCTGAAGGCTGTCGACCCATCTGCACCTGGACTATTAAGCATGGAATTGCCTTGGCCTCACAGGGAGCCGCATGACCTGCAGCTGCTGGATTGTTTGGGGAATTGATTTCCCAGGGGAATAAATAGCAAGTGCTCCCCTTGCCAGGCTGCCAGCTGCAGGAGCAGTGCAGATGGGAGCAGATGCCTCTGTGCCATCCATGGCTAGCAGCGGAGTATGACACCAGAGTAGCCTCCCCCAGGGCCCTGTGAATTGGGACTGAAAAGCTAACTCCAGCCCATGGGGGGAGGAGGGGTGCAGATGGGACTGGTCTCAGTTTGCCGCACCAATGGCTGGCGCTGCCCTGCTCACGCGTGCAGTGGAAGCACTGTCTGCACCGTAGCCCGGGCACGGCCAGCCCCTCCTGTGCCTTGGTCAGTTCCTGGTGCAGGGACAGAGGGGCTGGAAGGTGGATTCAGTGTGAATTAACCAAGCAGCCAGAGGAGCAGAGAGGGGAAGGGGAGAAGGAGGTCAATGGGGCCAAGGCTGCTGGTGGTAGGGCCTGCAGAGAAGGTGTGCAAATATGAGGGGCACACCCACTCCAGCGGCAGGCAGAGAGACACCAGGCCCAGGGGGGCCAGGGTTTCAGGCCTGTTCCTCTCATCTGTGTGGGGAGGGCTCCACGGGACAGCGGCCGTGCTGCGGCAGGCAGGACGCAGCGCTGCCAATGTGCCGTGTGCAGGGCCCCTTGTGGCAGGGAGGGTCCAGCGAGTCATGGCCCCTTCCTGGCTGACACACAGTGGCCCTGCTGCTTGCCTGGCGCCTGCCCTGTGCCAGGCCCCAGCGTTGTGTTTCCTCCAGCCCCCATCGCCCGCTCAGTGGGGCTCCCGCTGTCATTGCTCCAATTGCAGCCACTCGCCTCTCCCTGCTGAGCGGGGCTCAGAGCTGGCTGGGGTCGTTCCCCCCTTCTCGCTGGGTACCCCTGAAAGAGGCTGGCTTTGGCCAGCTTCCAGCAGCAGGTGGAGTCAGACTCCAGCCCCCTTCTCCCTCTGGCCCCTCCTCAGGGAGCCTCCCCTGCAGCTGGCCACTTTCCAAGCCAGGGGGGAGGGTCTAGCTGAGCAGGTGAATATTTAACCGGAGAGCCGGCACTTGTTTTGCTTGGGCAGCTCTAGGCTGGTTGGGGGTGGTTCTGGCTGGAGAAGGGGGCCGTTGGGCAGCCGAAGAGCTGCAGAGGAGAGCTGTGGGATGGAGCCGGAGCCGGGGCAGGAGCCCAAGGTGGGCGCAGGAGCCAAGCCGCTACATCTAGCTGCTCAGTAAGCCAGAGAGTCATGGGAGCTAGTGGGGAGGGGGCCCCATCTCTTGCGGGCCACCGAGGGACTAGGGGTGGTCAGTGCACCCAGTGCTGGTAGGGGGAAAGGACCACAAGTCCCTTCAGCCTAGGGGGCCCCTGGAGTCTCCTATTCCTCCACACCTGGTGCAAGGGTTCCGTTCCCTCTGGCAGTGGAAGGGTTAACCACATACCTGGGCAGCTGTGTCTGGCACATCAGACCTCAGCATGCTGCAGCTGGTGAGGGGCTGCGGGGCGCTGGAGCCCAGAGAGAATGAGCCCAAAGCCTGAGCGGCTGCACGGCCCAGTGAGCCAGCCCCTGGCTCCCCCACAGCTCTTGGGGCTGCCAGAGTCCCTGCTCCCCACACTGGTTGTTTTCCCCAGGAGCCCAGCAGGCGAACAGGAGGATTCCATGGACAGGAAGGAAACATGTCTCCGGGTGGTGGTCAGGTGAGGGGGCAGGGACAGGCCTGGGGGAGCAGGGGGGCACAGACCAGGGTTGGGACTGGGGGCGGTGGGGGTCACTCAGAGGATGTAGGTGCTACAGGAGGCTGAGCAGCAATCCGCCCACACAGCACAAGGGGCCCAGACGAGATTGTGGGTGAGGGAAGGGGTGGGGCCGAAGGAGGAGGGTGGCTGAGGGGTGCATGAGCTGAGGCCGGGTTTAGGGGCTGGCACCTGGGACCAGGAGGGTGCCCGCATGGTGCATGATGCCTCTCCCTTTGGCTAGGGTTCGGCCCCTGACCTGCCAGGAGCTCCGCAGAGGGGACCAGCGTGTGGTGCACTGCCTTGGGGACAACACCATCTACGTGAGTGCCCCGCCCTGGAGGCCAAAGCTGGGCACTGGCCTGTCTGGGCCCGATGCTGAGCCAGCTCTTCTCTCCCCGTGCCAGGTGAATGCGGCCGGGCAGGAGGCGGCCTTCAGGGCAAGTGCAGCATTCGATGCAGGCACGTCCCAGGAAGGGCTGTTTGAAGGCAGCGGGATGAAGCGACTCATAGCGCTGGCTGCAAATGGGTGAGGCTGAGGCAACCCTGCGTGGAGAGCATGGTCCCCTTCCACCCCCCCACCCATAATCCCCACCCAGCCATGCACATGCTCCCTCTCCCCCAGCCCCCAATAGCCCCCAGCCGGGCGTGCACCTGCTCCCCCGCCCTTGCCTGTAACCCCAGCCAGCCACGTGCCTGCCCCCGTGCTTGCTCACCCCACTGTGGCCTCCTTCCCAGCAGCCAGCTGCAGCTTTCTGCCTCCACACGCCTCCGGGCACAAGCACCCAGCAGCACCCACTCCCCAGGAACCACCCGCAGCACCCTCCTCACACCAGCGCGCGCCCACAGCCGTGCACCCCTTCCCCTCCGCGTGCTCTCAGCACCGCCTTGTGCCCCGCTGTCCGACCACAGTGCAGGTCTGCATTCCCTGGCTCCGCCACGAGGGGGCGCCTTGCACCCTCCCAGGAAGGGCGCAGGTGCTCAGCGGCTCTTTGCCCCCTCGCCCAGGTTCTCCTGCACTGCCTTTGCCTTCGGCCAAACAGGCTCTGGAAAGACCTACAGCTTGATGGGACCCTTAGCTCAGGTGAGAGACCCCCCCTCGGGGGCAAACCCGCGGTGGTGCTGAGCAGGTACTTCAATCAATGCCTTACTGCGCCCCCTGGATCATGAGCCCCCCCCTCTCCCAGCAGGGGGCGCTGTGGGGAGCGGGGGAGGGCGTGGCTGTGGGGGGCGCTCCCCTCTACCCCAGGCCTGGCCTCTCCCAGCAGGGGGCGCTGTGGGGAGGGGGGAGGGCGCTGGCTGGGGGTGGTTCTCAGTTTCCTGCTGCAGGGGGTGGAAGCTCAGGGCACCCAGCCATTGGCCTTCCGAGACTTCTCCCCTCTCTGCAGAGCGAGGGCCAGCCGGTGACTCCCTACCTCATGGGGCTGATGCAAAGGGCCTTTGTGTGTCTCCTGGAGCAGACGCAGTGCTACAGACCCGGCCTCGTGCTCAGTGCCTCCTATGTGGAGATACACAATGAACAGGTAGGGCCACCCCCATCACCCTGCCTGGATAAAAAGCTGCAGCACCTAGCACCCCCAGCCCAGGAGCAGGGCCGGCTGATGGGCACCAGACAGACCTGTCCCTGCCCCCCATTACCTCTCTGCCACAGCCCTTCCTGCTCACCCACGTCCTCCTGGCTTTCTGGGCTCCATTCCCACCTGCCCCAGTGCCTCTCCTCTGTCCAGGTGAGAGACCTGCTGAGCCCAGGGCCACCCAGGCCCCTGCCCGTGCGATGGAGCAAAACCAGGGGCTTCTACATCGAGAACCTGCTGACTGTGGAGTTTGGGAGCCTGGAGGCCATCATGGACCTACTGCAGGAAGGTACCGCATGGGGCATCTCCAGTCTTGCAGGGCGCTGGGGAGGGGCAGAGGCGGGACCCCTGGTGAGTGGAGACCCCAGGGCTCTGCAGCCCATGGGCAATGAGCCCAGTGCCCAAGGGGCCCCCTGGAGGCCAGGTGGGAAGTGAATTCCCTTTTGCTGTTCCTGGTGATGGGGAGCTCACCACATCACTCCCACGAGCAGACCCTGGCACAGTCCCGCCCTCCCTGGTGCCAAAGCGTCCCGCCTGCGCCAGGGCATCACTCTGGCCTAGGCCACCAGCTGTTTTCCAAGGCAGGACTGGCAGCCTGGGGGCCCAGGCAGCAGCCAGATGGGAGCAGCCCGTGCTGGCCTAGACCCTGCCGCTGAGGGAAGAGGCTCCATCCAGAGGGGCCCCCCGTAATGAGCTCAGGACCCTGGGACCGCAGGTTCTGCAGGAGAGTGAGGCCCAGCGCCAGGGGGGTCAGGGGCTGTTTAAGCTTTTTGCCTGGCTCTGACCTGCCTGCACCTCCCACTCCCAGGCACCCGACGGCGGCAGAGCGCTGCGCACGTGCTGAATGGGCACTCGAGCCGCAGCCACGCCCTGCTGACCATCCGCATCCACCGCAAGGCTGTGAGTCACTCACGTCCCCGCACGCGGGGCCTCGGGGGCCAGGGCACATCCCACCCTGCTCCCAGGGGCGCCAGCAGCTTGTGGGAGGGTCCTACGGGCACACGGGGAGGCAAGTGGGCACTGGCCTGAATGGCTTTGATTTGCTACTGCCCTGCCCACCCTGCAGGGGCAGCTCCAGGCAGAGGGGGCCCAATGGGGAGTTCTGGGGCAGACTCCATCATGGGGAGCCCTTGGAATATTTGGCAGCCAAAGCCCTTGCCCTTGTTCTGCTGCTGGGGGGCTGCTCTAGGCTGACGCCTTTGTGAGCCAGCCTGGTGCTTCTCCCTTCACTGGACTGGCTAGGGCCTGCACTGGAGACCCCAGGATTTCCAATGGTGGGGCGGGGGCTGGGAGTGTCCCTGAAGGCCAATGGAGCAGGACACCTGAGAGCTTCAGTCCCTCCTCTTCCCCGCAGCTAAGCCCAGACCCCAGCTCCTGCCAGCAAGGCGTGCTCTGCTTCGTGGACCTGGCCGGCAGTGAGAGGGTGAAGGACACCGGCTCAGCTGGGGAGCGCTTAGTGGAGGCCAGCAACATCAACCGCAGTCTCCTGGCTCTGGGTAAGGCCCCTGCAGCCGGGCCAGAGAGAGGGGCCAGGCTGGCATGGCGACAGGGAGCGGGCACCCCCAGCTGGCTGCAGGCTCGGCTGGGCCTCGAGGCTTGTCTGTGTGCTCATCGTCTGGAGCAGCGTCACCTGAGAGCCCAGGCAAGTGACGGCCTGTCCTCCCCGCAGGGCACTGCATCTCTCTGCTGGTGGACCCCAGACGGAGGCGAAGTCACATCCCGTACAGGGACAGCAAGCTCACCCGGCTGCTGGCGGAGTCCCTGGGCGGATCTGGGATCACGCTCATGGTAGGAGCCTGGCCGCCCTCTGCATCTGGGGAAGGGCTGGGTGAGGGCCTGGAGCCGCGGCCCCACAGGTGCAGACCTGGGACAGGAGCAGGGGCCTGTCAAAATCACATTGCAAGGCTGTGGCCAAGCAAGGAATGGAACCCAGGAGTCTGGGATTCCAGTGCTGGAGCTGGCTAGCCTGGGGCCGGGGGGACAGACTCACCAGAGCCTTCTCTGCTGAGGGCCCCACTGGGAGCTGCTCCTCAGCCTCGTCCCTTGTCCGGCAGGTCGCCTGCATCTCCCCCTCCTCGCGCTGCCTCCCGGAGACACTGCACACGCTGCGCTTTGCCAGCAGGGCCAAGAAGGTCACCACCAAGCCTGTGGCGCAGAGGGTAAGGCAGAGAGCTCTGAAAACAAGGAGGGGCACATGGGGTTAGACTCGGAGCCCAGTGTCCTGTCTCTGACAGCGGCCAATGCCAAGTGCTTCAGAGGGAACGAACAGAACAGGGCCATTGTCAAGTGATCCAGTCCCCGGCTCCAGTCCCAGCCTTTGGTGGTTTAGGGACACCCAGTGCATGGAGTTGTGTCCCTGCCCAGCCTGGCTGACAGGCGTTGATGGATCTAGGCTCCAGGAACTCCTCTCGTTCTGGTTTGGACCCAGTTATACTCCTTGGCCTTCACAACATCCAAACATATGAGTTCACTGCACCCCCAGGGCAGGGCCCTTGTGGTCAGGGTCCCCTCTAAGCCTTGTGCCTTTGATTTCCCAGGTCTCCCGGGAGAAGCTACTGCAAAGTTTGGAGCAAGAAATCCAGGCCCTGCGGGAGGAAAACTTCTCCCTGCGCCAGCAGCTGCGTCTGCCCAGGATACGGGGCGAAAGCCCAGCCACCCACACACCCCCCACCCGTGCGTGCTCCTGGGGGGCAGGGCTGGGGGTTAGAGGGACCCAGGGATGCCCTGGAGGACAGGAGTGGGGAGCCTGCAGAGGGGCACCAGGGGCTTGTGCATCAGAGATGTATGTGACCTGCCACCGCCCAGGCCCTGGCCCAAGTGCAGATGCAGCAGCTGGGCTCCAGTTGTCACCCATCTCCTCTTCCTTGCAGAGCTGCCCGAGTGCCAGGGAGAGAACTGTGCCCCCGGGCAGAGAGGGGCCCCAAGGAGAGCACCCGGCTCAGCCAGGCGCAGCCTCTATGGCCTCGTACAGGACTTTGTGCTGGAGAACGAGCAGCTCAGGTAGCAGCAGGACGTTCCCCCTCCTGGGCTGACCCCTGGGAGACTCAGCTCCTGGCTGCGGGGGCCAGCCCCGGGCCTCCCTCGAGCCCTGATGTGCGGGTGAGCCCCAGGCATGGCCTGGTACCTGGCACTCAGGACAGCGGTCACTGGAAAAGCGATGCCCCCCTACGCACATGGGGTGGGCAGGGCCGAGCCGCGTGTTCCCTAGCCACCTCAAACCAGCCGCTACCCCACAGCACTGCGACTCTCCCAGGCAGCGAGGCCCTGCCCAGCTCCTCTCCGGCTGGGCTAAGGGAAGGGGCACCCCTGCCCCATTTCCCTAGGCATGTGCCTTTCCCCTGGCCTGGGGGCAGCGAACGGCTGGGAGCCGCTACTCCGACCAGGTCCCAAGCCAGAGACGCCCCCGCCTCGGCCCAGGGGCTCACCCTCAGGCCAGGTGGCTGAGCTCTCCCCTGGCACAGACTCACCAGCAGCTTTACAACTCCCACTGCCCGTCCCTGCCTCTTGCCGCAGAGGCTCCCTGCCATGCCCAGCTCTCTGGGCGACTCCCAAGAACCACCGCCGACCCTTCCCCATGCCTGGAAGCGCCCCCAGCAGCCCGCGGCTGCCCCAGCTCAGTCACCCGACCGGGAAGGGGGCGCAGCTCAGCTGGGCCTGGAACCCCGAAAGGTCAGCACTGCTGGGCCAGGTGAATGAGCCAGATCTCGCTCCTCCCGGCCCTCACACCTGGCGAGGGGTTGCCCCAGCGCACTACCCAGAGGGCAAGGTGAGCAGGGCAGCGCTGGGCCCTGTCCATGCGCTGAGTCTGGCCTGGCACAGGGCAGGCTCCCTGCATGGGGGAGCCCTGCTACTGTCTGGGTGAATGGACAGGGTGGGGCCCAGCATCCACGGCTCACCACGCTCTCCCCTTCCCATTGTCCTGCTTGGCCAAGGAGGGAGCCAGTCCTGCTGACAAGCACCTGAGCCCTCCAGGGGCCGGTGGCAGGGCCTGAGAGCCCCGTGGGTGGGTAGGGCCCAGGCTGGAGACCTGGCTGGGTGACAGCTTGCTGCGCTGCAGGGTGAGGAAACCCCTCATTAGCCAGGCCCTGAGCTGCGTGTGGGACGGGGAGGCATTTCTGAGTCACCTGGAGGACTGGGGGGGAGGGTCCGGGCTCTCAGTGCTGGGTGTGGGGGGGTGCTGAGTGTGCAGGGGACACCTGACGTGTGCTGGGTGCATGGGGGGGGCACTCAGCATGCGTTGGACATGCAGAGGGATGCTCGGGGTGAGGGGCTCTCTGCTGGGCATGGTAGAGCCGAGACCCGTCCCTGAGGCTAATGCTTGGGTTACTCATGGGCCACAGTCCCCAGGGCAGGTGCAGTCCCAGGCCTGGCAGAACAGCCGCGCCCGGGGAGCCCTTGCCGGAATTTCTGCTCCAGGCAGCTTCTCAGCCAACCGCTGGCCTCACCCGGTCCCTGGAGCTGCTGGCTGGGGGAGTGACCTGCCCATCAACATGGTGACCCCCCCCCCAGCCCTCCTGAGTCCCACCCTGCCAGGTCTCTCCCCACCCCAGCTGGCTCTTTCCTTGCTGGGCACCGTAGCTGGGAGGGCCCAGTTCCTCAGGCATATTGGGATGCCTGGGACTGCCCCACTCCCACTTGTCTCATTTACGTTCCAGGCACCCGGAGCCCCCCCTGGCCTTCAGCAGCTGGGGCCACGACAGACGCTCCCCCGAAGCCGCCCCCGGCTCCTGCAGCATCCAGGCCCCAACCTGCCCCCGCCCTGTCCCCGGCGCAGCCCAGTGCGGCCACGTGAGTCTCCTTTTCCTGTCTGACTTGGCGCACGAGGCCCTGACCCCTCGTGTGTCCTGCATGCTGGCCTGTCAGCCCAGGGGAGCCACCGCCCCAGGGGAGCCACCGCCCCAGTGTCTGGGCTGGCTCTGGCTCTGCCCGGGGGAATCTGGCTGACAGGTGCTGTGGGGCCCAGCTCAGCACAAAGGGCAGAGAACGGATGGGCCATGGGGCCTGAACTCCAGCCTCCACCCTGGCCCTGGAGCCCCAAGCTGTGCGCGGAGCTACGCCCCAGCACACTGAGGGCGCTGTGCCGGCCGGCCGCCTGAGACACGTCCCCTCCCGTGCTCTTCTTCCTCTTGCAGACGCCGGCTCCTGTCCACGCCTGCCGCTGCCCCTGCTGCTGTGCTGTCCGGCCAGCCCACGCCACCCCCTGCCAGCGCTCCCAGGTACGGGCCACCCCCGCAAGGCTGGCTGGGAACAGGAAGCTTTCAGCCTAAGGGCTCTGCTTGTCCTTCCAGCTGCTGAGGGAGCTGCCCCCATGGGAGGTGCTCGCTGCCGAGAGCAGTTCCAGGTTCCAGGGGGTTGGGCAGGGCAGTGCGTGGGAGGACCCGGCTCCGCTCTGGCCCCAGCAGCACCCTGTGGCTCCCTGGCTACTCCGTGGGAAAAGGTGAGAGTCAGCAGCCTGGGCCCAGGAGCGAGTCCCCCAAGACAGGGCAGGGGCTCAGGGCACAGCGGGAGGTGACCCAGGGAGAGGGTGGGAGGCCGTAAGGTGGGGCAGCCGTGGCCAGATTTGATGTGGGCCCCAGACTCACTGCACATGCAGCTGCCTCTAAGCTGCAGGAGCTGGCAGGTTAGTGGCCTCCTGTGCTCCATCTGGGCCACCAGCCCTGGCCCCAGCTCTCAGCACAGGCCTCGCTTGCACTGCAGGGGCCTGCGCCGAAGGAAGAGCTCCACTGTCTTGTGTCTGCTCCTGGGAGACACCCGGCAGCAGGGCCCTGAGCCTCCCCCCGGCCTGGAGGGGCAGGTCGCACCGTCGGCCCCGCCCCTGCCAGGGCAGCCAGACAGCAGCGCAGGGCGCCAAGGTAAGCAGCTGAGGTTTCCCTACTGGATCTCTGGCCACACGGGCTGGAGGGGTCAGAACTGGGGTGACCATCGGGGGCTCTCGACCGTGCAGATACTGTGAGCCTGGGACGGGAGAAGCCTTTCCCAGCATGGTCTGCACAAAGGGAAATGTGGGGCAGAGGCTCCCTGGAAGCCATGCCTCCATGGAGCTGAATCAGTGGGGGGAGGGAGGAGCTCCTTCGCTTTGGGGCCCATCCCAGAATCGTGTCCCTTCTCCCAGCTCCAGCTCCCTGACACCCGCTGCAGCCAGAGGGGAGCGGGGCTGAGCCCAGGGCGGGGGGCACGAATCGCTCCTGTCCTGTGCGGCCAGCAGCAGGAGCTGCGGCTGGGGGAGGTGCTGGACTCCATCGCTACCGCCTGCGGAACCAGGGACGCCCGGGACTGACCCCGCACGTGCCCCACGCCAAGGGACCAAGTGATCTATTAACCCTCCCAGTGCCGTGATGGAGCACCCCATGGCCTGGTGAGCGGCCAGGACACAGGGCCCCAGTCCCCTGCAGGCTGCGGGGAGGCAGGTGGGGCCTTGCCGGGGCGTGGCATGCACAGCCCTGCCCACGAAGCTCCCCCTGCCCCAGACAGACGTGGTCCAGGGCTGACACAGAGCTCCCTGTTTATTTGGCTTTCGCGAAAGACCCAGCTGCTGTGGATATGGCGGGACGGTGGCGGCCCATCCCCGCGGGGGCGCTCCTCTCCCGCTCAGGGGCAGCCCAGCCAGTACTGAGCGATGGGGCGTGGGTAGCGAGGGCGCACAAAGTCCACACGCTTACTGCGCAGGTTGAGGCGATAGTACTTGTCTGCGGGAGAGAAGGGCGTGACCGTCAGTCCCCGGGGAACAGGGCCCAGGGCTCCGCTCACCCACCCTCGCCACAGCTCCGAGCAGCAGGAGCTGAATGGGCCCTGCTGGCCTCCCCGAGCATCCCCCAAGCATAGGGACAACCCTGCTCAAGGCTTCGGCCAGAGTCCAGGCTCCACCAGGGCAGCCTGACTCCCCGTGCCCAGGCCCAGCCTGCTCCGGCTCTCCTCCCCGCCATGCGGCGCCTCTCCACGTCAGCCCCATCGCTCATGGTCAGGCCGGGCAGAACTGCAGGGCCCTGGGAGAAGGTGGCCATAAGGGGGCTGTGGGGGCCACATTGCAAAGCTGAAGCCAAGCCCTGCTGGGGGGCTAGGTCAGGTCAGCTGTGAGAGCAGCTGGGGTGAGCTGATGGCACTGGGACCCACCTGCCACGAAGAAGTAGACGCTCTGGATGGGCTGGCACCGGGAGCCCCCTGGCAGCCAGTCAAGGTCCATGTCCAAGGAGTCGGACTCATCCTGCAGCCAGTCCCAGACGGTGTGAGCTGCCGGCCGCCGGCTCCTGTACCTCTTGCGGTGTCGGCGGGATTTCCTCCTTCGAGCCCAGCTGCTAGCCCTCGAGGAGACGTAGATCCTGCCGGCCATGGCAGCATCCAGGTGGCTTGGCACCCCCCTCCAGTCTCTGCTGATGTACCGTGGTCCACTGGCCCCACCTGGCAGAACAGCACAGGGTGGGCATGAGGACTGGCTGGCTGCATCGCTGCCGAGGGTGCGGTGTCCCATCCGCAGGCAGAGGCTCACCCAGTGGGGAGGCAGCCCCGACCGACCGCAGGCAGCATCAGGGAGTGGGGTCCCCAGGGCCTCCAGAAGAGGGAAGGAAAGAAGCTGGCACAGGGGAGCAGAGCCGCCCCTATCCCCATGACAGGGCAAGGAGCAGGCTGGGAGGAGAGATGTGATGGCAGGACCCAGCCTGCCACAAGGGGGCCTGGAGCCTAGCCATGTTTCCCTCCTCCCCAGCTTTCTGTTCACCTTCACAGCCCGGCAGCATTGGCTCCAGTTAAAACAGACAGCACCTGGTACCTGATTCTGTCCTGGTATGTTGGGGGGCAGGGGGTGCCGCGCCTGTACGGGGGAGAGCAGTGGGTGCAGTGTGCATGGTGCAGGCTGGGGACATGGGTTGTGGTGTGCAGGTGTTTTGGGGCTGGGGGGGATGCAGCGGGGGGCTGCGCTCTGCATGCAGCTGGGTGCTATCACTCCCTTCCAGGCTCCCAAGGCCCTTGGGCCTGTGAATCTGGCCTCTTGCATGCATTGGTCCCACTAAGGAGCACTGGGGTCTAACGTTCTCCAGAGCCGGATCAGGGGCCCTCAAACTGCCTGTCCTCTTTAGCGCCTGACCTCCCAACCTGCATCACTTCCTCTCTGAATGGCCCTGACTCCAAAGCCCCTAGCAACTCCCATGGCCTCTGGCTCCCCCCAGCCCACTGACTTCAGTGAGCTGCTTGGCCCGATCCCATAACCTGGGCCATTCCTCCCCACTTACTGCGCATGGAGCCCCCAAAGAGCAGTTGGAAGAAGTCCTCCCAGCTGTCGCCCTGCATGAGTGTGTAGTGGTCGAACACCAGTGATGGGGAGGACACCTCGCAGTCCTGCCGGCTGGGCTGTTTGGCAAAGTCATATGCCCAGTAATGCTTGTCTGGAAACGAGACATGGAGCCTGTCAGGCTGGAGAGATGCCATCCTGCTGGACGGGGCTGGGGCCCAAGGCGCAGGCTCCTCACCCTGCTGGCTAGAGCAGAGCAGGGCATCCCCCAGCACTGGGACGGGCTGGCAGTACAAGGCAGCTCCACGCAGCAGCCCAGGGGCTCGGCAGCCTTCATAGCGTAGCCAGGCTGATTGTTTGTTACCCGTCTTGGCATGCTAGGAACACTCCAGGCGCTGGAGGCAGGTTTGCGGCGAGAGGCCTGGCTTTCCTTTCAATACAATACAGCTGGGTGCCATGACCGCGTGCAGCGAGCAGCCCAGACACCCCCTAGCTACGGGCAAAACCATGTTTATTAGTGTCTAAACCCCCCATTTCTAGCCACTCTCCTGAATGCCTGGAGCTGGCAGTGCCAACTTCACCCGCTGCCTGGGTACGCAGTCAAGGGCCCTGCAGCTGCTGGGCCCTGTGCCCTCTGGCTGAGCAGCCGGGCAGGGACTGCCCAGCGCTCTCAGACAGCATGGCTGCGGAGACCAGCAGGCGCGTGGGCAATGGGCTGCAGTGAGCTGAGGGCACTGCCCGGGTGTGGGGACCATGCCCCAGGGGCACTGTGGGGGGGGCACAGCTGGGAGGGGTACTTGGGCCAGCTGGGAAAGAAGCTCATTTACCTTTAAAGAAATAGACCCTCTCCTGGCCATGGTAGCTGTGCGCAGGGAGGGCGAAGGCTGCGTCGATGTCATCAGGGATGTCCTGGAAGCCGTCGGAGATATTGCGGGGGTAGTCGGGGTCCAGGGCACCGTCATCGAAGCGCCAATACTGACTGCCCTTGGGAGACAGCCACAAGGCAAGGTCAGCTGGGGGCGCTGCTGCTGGGCAGAGCCTGCCGGGGGCCCAGGCAGCATGTCCCTCCCCAGAGAGCAGGATTCAAGAGCCACAGAACCTGTGGGCCATGAACCCACAACCCTGAGCCTGCAGCAAAGCGTCCGCCCCCGTTAGCGCTCTCCCCGCTGCCAGGTAGGACACTGGCCTGGCCATGCCCCGAGACACCAATGGGCTGCCTGGCACACGCCCACGGGCTCTTGGCAAACTCCTCTGTCACTGTCCCACCTTTGGCCGGGGACATCAGCTGTGTGCCTGGCCTGTCAGCTCTGCCGCCCTCCTGCAAAGGGGAACAGGCCAGGGGGACGAGGCCTCGCTGCTCATCGGCGTGGCAGCCTGAGAGAGGGGCTTCCCAGAGGAGCCGGCTGCGGCGAGCTGGGCCGGCCCGGTGGTGTAACGGACACCACAACGGCGAGTGGCGCACACGAGTCAGGCACAGGCAGGACTAGTCCAATCCCTGCTCGCAGACCCACCTGGAAAATGTAGGTCTTGCCCTGACAGTTAATGCGTGTGAAGGCGGCATCGATGGGCCCCTCGATGCCCCAGACATCGCGGATGAGCTTGGGGTAGCCGGGCCTCACGCTTTTCTCGTCCAGTTCGTAGACGTATTTCCCTGAGCGAGAAGGGAGACAGGAGCTGTGAGCCCCCCGCTCCCTAAAAGTCCCCCCCGCTTTGTTTCCAGTCGTGTCTTCCCGCCCCAAGTGCACACAGTCTGGAAGGCTGGCTATCTGCCGGGAGGTTCCGCACCATGCCGGAGCCGTTGACCATGCCGACAGCCCTGGCAATGCAAGCGACCCAGGGCCCTCCCTGCCGGGCAGCTCAGTTCTGCCTGCGTGGGGGACTCAGGCTGCCAAGAGCCCAGCCAGGGCCAGCTGTGCCAGTGGGCTTGATGGCATGGACGTCTCTGGGAACTGGGCTGAGACCCACCTTCCCCCACTAAGCATCTGGCCAATGGGAGTGACGCGCGATGGAAGCGAGTCCGTGCCCTGGAGGGGGAAGCCTGTGCAGCCCTTTCCCATGCTCTGAGCCGGCCCCCGCCCAGCGCCCACGGGCAGCACCTCGGAACGCGTAGAGAGAACCGTTCTTCAGGTCCGTGAACGCATCAAAGGGCTTCCCGCTGCACAGCTCCTCCTCCTCCTCCTCCTGCTGCTGCACCTGCTCCAGCTCTTCCAGCCCAGTGGGCACCAGCAGGGGGGCACCACTGCCTGGCACCGTGACCGAATCCGCAGCGGCAGCAGTGACTGGGTCTGGAGATGTGGTTGGGGGGTCAGTCCCTGTGTCGAGGACCTCTGCAGTTTCACCCAGGGTAGCGCTGGTGCTGTAGTCCATGTAGTCGTCCTCGGGGAACGCAAACATGTCCCCGCGGGTCACTGCGCACAGGGCATGAGAGAGGCTCAGCACGATCCCGTCAGCAGCCGGGAGCCCAGAGGACGCTGCAGCCCTGACTCTGTGCTGGGGCTCTTACTGGCTGGGCCAGAGGTGATGTGCCGCCAGAAGAACGTTCCCATGCAGCATGGGAAGAAGGGTCCCCTCTACACTCCTCATCCCCTGAATCAGTCTCTAGCCCCCAGACTCCCTGTCCCTTGGAAATCACAAGGGCCCCTCAGTGAAGGGGGCTCAACATCAGCCTGCCTCCTAATGGAACATCCCACTGACCAAAGCAGCTGCGGAAAGGGGCAATGCTGGCTGGGCACTGACCCGGGGCACATTGCCACGTGCAAATCTGGCTCTTTGTGCAGCCTGGCGCCCTTCCAGCTAGCAGCCAGCCAATGGCAGCCGCAGGAAGCGGGGGCCTTGCTTGTGAGTGCTCCCTGGTGAGAGGAAAGGGCCCTGGGGGGCACCAGAGGGGGAAGGTACCTTTCAGCTTGCAGGTGCTGGCGTAGTCACTGCAGCAGCTCCCGTAGTACACGCAGAGGGCATCACACTGGCACTTCCTCTGGGCATTGAAACCATCCTCGCAGTGGCCCACACAAGACTCTGAAACAGCCAGCTGGGAAGTAACCACAGCACCCCCGCCCTGGCCCAGGGAATGAGCCACGGCCCCTGGGGTGGCCAGCAGCTCCCCACACCAGCCACACTGCTAGCGATGACGGGCAGCTGCATTTCTGTAGCAGGCAAGCCCTGCACACTGCACCGGGATTTCACCCCTCCCTGCTGCACCTCTCCCTCCCCCCAGGACTTGCTGAAGTTGAGGGTGTCTGGCTGCTCGCCCCCCTGCTGTGGGGTGTATGATGTGTGACTAATGCTGCAATACAGGAGACTCATACAGGCGATCTGCCTGTGGGGAGAGGTCAGCAGTGCCTGGCTGATCCTTTAAAGATCCTGTCCACAGAACAGGCTGCCTGGCAGCCCCGGCCAGAAGCCCAGCAGGCTCCTGGGGAATTTGGCTGCTGCTTTCTCCTGGGCTCCTTGGCCAGTTGGAGGCCTCAATAGCCCTAGGACTCAGTAGCCCAACAGACCCATTTGCTCTCTCCCAAAAGCTAGCTGCAAGCAGGAGCTAGGGAACACTTTGAATTGGACTGTCCAGCAGGGAGCCCAGCCAAGGGAGAGCAGAGACTTACCTTCAACTGCAGAAGCCCCGCAGAGCAAACCCAGCATCAGAGCTGGGACCAGCAGCCTCATGGCGCGTGGCTTGTCTGACTGCTCCAACTGCTGCTGGAGCTGGGCTGCAGCCTCCTGTCCCAGGAACTCACTGTTTGCTTAGCCTGCCCCTCTCCAGGGAGAAAACAAACAGTCAGAAGGTCAAAAAAGCACAAGAGCAAGAGGTGACTGACGCCCCCTGGCCTCTCCCCAGCAGGCCTGGAAGGGGTCTGAAGGCTTTTGCACAGTACCTGCTGGGACCCTGCTCGGGGGGCTGACTCTCTATAGCAGGGCTAAACAAAACCCGTGCACACCAAGCTGAAGGCAGTGCCAATCTTGCTAGCTAGAGCCAGGTTTGAAACCCACTGGCTGGCGTGGGCTGGGGAGTCTTTTCCCAACACCTCGGCAGCCCCACAATAAGGAGCTGGCTAGCGGGCAGGAGATGAGAGGCCTTTTCAGACAATCATAGTTTAAGGCCAGAAAGGACCACCAGACCATCACTGGGGCACCAGCTCCACCCAGCACCGCATCCTAAACCCAACAACCGAGACCAAGTCCAGCCCACAGGAGATGGGAGTTAAAACACTGTTCGAGGGTCCAGTCAATGTTACCAACTCACCAGTCACGCATGTGCCTGACAATATCAAAACCCAGCTCCTGTGGTGAAGGTTACGGGAGAATCTCAGCTTCTGTTTTATAGCCAGTAACTTTCTAGCCCTCACTTTTGCAGAAAAAAGTTTGAAAATCATAGACTCATAGGACTGGAAGGGACCTCGAGAGGTCATCCAGTCCAAACCCCTGTATTCATGGCAGGACTAAGTATTATCTAGACCATCCCTGCCCCGTGTTTGTCTAACCTGCTCTTAAAAATCTCCAATGATGGAGATTCCACAACCTCCCTGGGCAGTTTATTCCAATGCGTAACCACCCTAACTATTAAGAAGTTTTTCCTAATGTCCAACCTAAACCTCCCTTGCTACAATTTAAGCCCATTGCTTCTTGTCCTATCCTCAGAGGTTAAGAAAAAATTTTTTTCTCCCTCCTTGTAACAACCTTTTACATACTTGAAAACTGTTCTCATGTCCCCTCTCAGTCTTCTCTTCTCCAGACTAAACAAACCCATTTTTTTCAATCTTCCCTCATAGGTCATGTTTCTAGACCTTTAATCATTTTTGTCGCTCTTCTCAGGATTCTCTCCAAATTGTCTACATCTTTCCTGCAATGTGGCACCCAGAACAAGACACAATACTCCAGTTGAGGCCTAATCAGCGCAGAGTGGAATGGAAGAATTACTTCTCGTGCCTTGCTTTCAGCACTCCTGCTAATACATCCCAGAATGATGTTCACTTTTTTGCAACTGGGTTACACTGTTGACTCATATTTAGCTTGTGGTTCACTATGACCCCCCAGATCCCTTTCTGCAGTACTCCATCCTAGGCAGTCATTTCCCATTTTGTATGTGTGCAACTGATTGTTCCTTCCTAAGTGGAGTACTTTGCATTTGTCCTTATTGAATTTCATCCTCTTTATTGCAGACCATTTCTCCAGTTTGTCCAGATCATTTTGAATTTTAATCCTGTCCTCCAAAGCACTTGCAACCCCTCCCAGCTCGGCTTTGTCCACAAACTGTACTCTCTATGCCATTATCTAAATCATTGATGAAGATATTGAACAGATCTGGACCCAGAACCAATCCCTGTGGGACCCCACTCATTATGCCCTTCCAGCATGACCATGAACCATTGATAACTACTCTCTGGGAACAATTTTCCAACCAGTTATGCACCCACCTTATAGTAGCTCCATCTAGGTTGCATTTCCTTAGTTTGTTTATGAGAAGGTCATGCAAGACAGTATCAAAAGTTTTACTAAAGTCAAGATATACCACGTCTACCACTTCCCCGCTATCCACAAGGCTTGTTATCCTGTCAGAGAAAGCTATCAGGTTGGTTTGACGTGATTTGTTTTTGACAACTCCATGCTGACTGTTACTTATCACCTTATTATCTTCTAGATGTTTGCAAATTGATTGCCTAATTATTTGTTCCATTATTATTCTGGGTACAGAAGTTAAGCTGACTGGTCTGTAATTCCCTGGGTTGTTCTTATTTCCCTTTTTATAGATGGGCACTATATTTGCCCTTTTCCAGTCTTCTGGACTCTCTCCTGTCTTCCATAACTTTTCAAAGATAATTGCTAATGGCTCAGATATCTCCTCAGTCAAATCCCTGAGTATTCTAGGATGCATTTCATCAGGCCCTGGTGATTTGAATACTTCTAACTTGTCTAATTTGTCTGGATTTGTGCTGGAAATGGCCCACCTGTTGATCACTTTAGATAAGCTATTACCAGCAGGACAGTGGGGTGGGAGGAGGTATTGTTTCATATTCTCTGTGTGTATATAAAGTCTGCTGCAGTTTCCACGGTATACATCTGATGAAGTGAGCTGTAGCTCACGAAAGCTCATGCTCAAATAAATTGGTTAGTCTCTAAGGTGCCACAAGTACTCCTTTTCTTTTTGTGAATACAGACTAACACGGCTGTTCCTCTGAAACCTGTCATTATGCAAGGCACTGCATTTAGCCGTATGGAGTGGAAATCTATCAACTGCATGAAAAAACTTGTACAGATACAGACAGACATCATCTTCCTTTCCAAATGCAAACAGATGGACATCGTACCAAAAGGACTGAAGGTAAAAAATCCATTACAATCTACATACCACACAGACTATGCTGACAGCTTGTGCCTCACGCTCTCAAAGAAACTGCGGAATCACCTGATCAAGATCCTCTACAGCAAACAGGGAAAGATTAAGAATGAGCTCTCAAAAATGGATACTCTCATAAAGAACCAACCTTCCACACAAACTTCCTCGTGGCTGGATTTTACTAAAACTAGACAAGCCATTTACAACGCACACTTTGCTTCTCTACAAAAGAAAAAGGACACTAAACTTTCTAAACTACTACATGCTACAAGGGGCCACAGCAATGGTTCCCTCACCCCACCTAGCAATATTGTTAACCTATCCAACTATACTCTCAGCCCAGCAGAAGCAGCTGTTCTATCTCGGGGCCTCTCCTTCTGCCCCTCCACCCCCACGAACATGATACAGTTCTGTGGTGACCTAGAATCCTATTTTCGACGTCTCCGTCTCAAGGAATATTTCCAAAATACCTCTGAACAACATACTAATCCGCAGAGGTCTCCCTGCCAACACTACAGAAAGAGGGATTCTAGATGGACTCCTCCTGAAGGTCGAAACAGCAGACTGGACTTCTACATAGAGTGCTTCCGCCGACGTGCACGGGCTGAAATTGTGGAAAAGCAGCATCACTTGCCCCATAACCTCAGCCATGCGGAACGCAATGCCATCCACAGCCTCAGAAACAACTCTGACATCATAATCAAAAAGGCTGACAAAGGAGGTGCTGTTGTCATCATGAATAGGTCGGAATATGAACAAGAGGCTGCTCGGCAGCTCTCCAACACGAGTTTCTACAAGCCATTACCCTATGATCCCACTGAGAGTTACCAAAAGCAACTACAGCATTTGCTCAAGAAACTTCCTGAAAAAGCACAAGATCAAATCCGCACAGACACACCCCTGGAACCCCGACCTGGGATATTCTATCTACTACCCAAGATCCATAAACCTGGAAATCCTGGGCGCCCCATCATCTCAGGCATTGGCACCCTGACAGCAGGATTGTCTGGCTATGTAGACTCCCTCCTCAGGCCCTACGCTGCCAGCACTCCCAGCTACCTTCGAGACACCACTGACTTCCTGAGGAAACTTCAATCCATCGGTGATCTTCCTGATAACACCATCCTGGCTACTATGGATGTAGAAGCCCTCTACACCAACATTCCACACAAAGATGGACTACAAGCCGTCAAGAACACTATCCCCGATAATGTCACGGCTAACCTGGTGGCTGAACTTTGTGACTTTGTCCTTACCCATAACTATTTCACATTTGGGGACAATGTATACCTTCAGATCAGCGGCACTGCTATGGGTACCCGAATGGCCCCACAGTATGCCAACATTTTTATGGTGGATTTAGAACAACGCTTCCTCAGCTCTCGTCCCCTAAAGCCCCTACTCTACTTGCGCTATATTGATGACATCTTCATCATCTGGACCCATGGAAAAGAAGCCCTTGAGGAATTCCACCATGATTTCAACAATTTCCATCCCACCACCAACCTCAGCTGGTCCAGTCCACACAAGAGATCCACTTCCTGGACACTACAGTGCTAATAAACAATGGCCACATAAACACCACCCTATACCGGAAACCTACTGACCGCTATTCCTACCTGCATGCCTCCAGCTTTCACCCTGACCACACCACACGATCCATCGTCTACAGCCAAGCTCTGCGATACAACCGCATTTGCTCCAACCCCTCAGACAGAGACAAACACCTACAAGATCTCTGTCAAGCTTTCTTACAACTACAATACCCACCTGCAGAAGTAAAGAAACAGATTGATAGAGCCAGAAGAGTTCCCAGAAGTTACCTACTACAGGACAGGCCTAACAAAGAAAATAACAGAACGCCACTAGCGGTCACCTTCAGCCCCCAACTAAAACCCCTCCAACGCATTATTAAGGATCTACAACCTATCCTAAAGGATGACCCAACACTCTCACAAGTCTTGGGAGACAGGCCAGTCCTTGCCTACAGACAGCCCCGCAACCTGAAGCAAATACTCACCAACAACCACATACCACACAACAGAACCACTAACCCAGGAACTTATCCTTGCAACAAAGCCCGTTGCCAATTGTGCCCACATATCTATTCAGGGGACACCATCACAGGGCCTAATAACATCAGCCACACTATCAGAGGCTCGTTCACCTGCACATCCACCAATGTGATATATGCCATCATGTGCCAGCAATGCCCCTCTGCCATGTACATTGGTCAAACTGGACAGTCTCTACGTAAAAGAATAAATGGACACAAATCAGATGTCAAGAATTATAACATTCATAAACCAGTCGGAGAACACTTCAATCTCTCTGGTCACGCAATCACAGACATGAAGGTCGCTATCTTAAAACAAAAAAACTTCAAATCCAGACTCCAGCGAGAAACTGCTGAATTGGAATTC